GAGCAGGGAGCCTGATGCGGGGCTCGATCCCAGGACCCTGGGATCATGACCTGAGCCGAAGGCAGACGCTTAACGACTGAGCCACCCAGGCGCCCCTCTCTACATTCTTTAAAAGTCATTGTTAAATAGGGTATAATTGGATGAGTCAGTTGTTTTAGGAAGACTTGTTCTTTACATATGATCTAAAATATTACATGGCATAGAATCTGAACATGCTGAGAGGACTTTAAAAATTGCTATAATTTTAAAAATTTGCCGTAGTTTTTTTTTTTTTTAATTTAAGTTTTAGCACCATTCCAATATGTGCATTGCCTGAAAAGGACTTTGTAGTCTAGTAGAGGAAATAACACACCAGAATACTTCTGATACAAGGTAAAAAGTATATGAAAGTCCTAATTTTAAGAAAAACCAAACACAAGCAGATCATAAGCTCTTCTCTTGTCTAGGCTTCTGACTAAACTATGAGCATATTACGGGCAGGGTCCATGTCCTAGTTGATCTTGTTTCTTTGGTACTTAGCATAATACCTGGAATTGCATAAGCATTAAATTTCCTGAAAATTGAATATTTACTCTTAACAGTTAAGTGAATGATTGTGTTTTGGTCAAAAATACAGAAATAACCAGCTAATGAAACAAAATTTGAAAAATCAGTCTCTGGATGCAATTGGGATGTTTCAAACTGCAACTGCCTTATATTTGTCTAACATTTTCTTATTCCCGTCACTTTTTCCTGGCATACAATGGATACCCCTTAAGAACTGTGCTATCCTGGAACGCCTGGGTGGCTCAGTCAGTTAAGCATCTGCCTTCGGCTCAGGTCATGATCCCAGGGTTCTGGGATCGAGTTCCACATCGGGCTCCTTGCTTAGCGGGGAGCCTGCTTTCCCCCTCTGCCTGCCGCTCCCCTCCTGCTTGTGCTCTCTTTCTCTCTCTCTCTGGCAAATACGTAAATAAGATCTTAAAAAAACAAAATACTATGCTATCCCTTTTTTTGCCTTTTACCAACAAATAACTTGGAATCATAAAATTTAATCCTACTATATTGCTGTATATCCAGAAAAGAGAGGATTAGATTTTAGCCCTTTTTGTCTTCCTAGGTTTTCTGTTAAAACTCTTTCTACAGATCGCTTTAGATAGGCTGTAGATGAAATATATAACCCTAGAAAAAATATATTTTGGTTATTAACTCCTTGGTTTATTCAGTAGATGTTTATTGAACACAGTCACACTTCAGATCATTAGTTTTTAATCTTTTTTGTGTTCACATTTGACGAGGTTAAAGATCCTGCTGCCCCATGTTACAGTAAATACCACCTTTCTTAGGTGCTGAGTAAACATTATGCCCTATATCTCCTCTCAAAATTAGTTGTATGTGTTCTACATCATATAAGATAACCTACTCAGATAAGTTTTTTCTGATTAATCTCATTGTATGTTATTGTATATCATACATGGTTTGAAATTTAGCACACCAGGGAAGATTTTGTGCTCCTTATTAGTTGGGAATTACCAGAGGTTTAAATATAATAAACAGACAGGTTCTAAAGATACAGTACAATGAAAATGTGTGATTAGGCTGATTGACCCCCGAAATTTCTATTAATTGACACTCGAAGTACAGTGTTTGTTGCCAAATTAGGTGCCATGTTGGAGTCTAATGTACCATTTCTTGGGGCTCCTAGGTGGCTCAGTTGGTTGAGCTGCTGCATTCGGCTCAGGTCATGATCCCAAGCTCCTGGGATTGAGCCACACATCAGGCTCCCTGCTGAGCGGGCAGTCTGCTTCTCCCTCTCCCTCTGCTCCTCCCCCTGGCTCGTGTGCTCTCTCTCTCTCTCTAATTAAATAAATAAAAAAGATTTTATTTATTTATTT